AAAAATTAGACATTAATGCTTAACTACTCCTTGCTTTTTATTAAAATTTTTTTATTTTTCTTATAATTTGACTAAAAAATAAATGACTACCACTAACCACACTAGCCCTAGCCCTAATGTTGGTGAAAATAATGATTGGCAGCCCAGTCCCCTCCTAGATCAATGGTAAACTACATGTAATTCTTTGCCATTCTCATTATACTTGACAAGCAAAAGAAAAAATGTTGAGACATTTTGTTGTTGGAAAATGTGTAGTGAAGGTGCTAAGATGTGATTTGTTTAAGACCAAGCTTATTAGCAAACTTACTCTAAGAAATTTGTTCTTTTTAATTTTGAAAATTTATTAATTTATTAGAGAAAAACTTGATTTTTAAAAAAAAATTAATTTAAAAACAAAATGTGAGAAAGTTAGTGGAACATGCCCTAAATAAGAACAATATAAATGCAGAAAGAACTATAAACTTGATATCTTTAACTTTTTAAATTTTATTTTGTTTCATTTTATTTAAAAATTTGGTGTAAGGTTAAATGTGCAAATCAACCCCTTAACTTGCCGTTTTCAATGGGTTATTAAGTTTCTGCAAAACTTGTTTATCATGATAAACACTTTTGTTACTAATAATTTTTATTTTATTTTTTTCTAAAAAATTTTCAGATTTAAAAGAGATACAAAACTAGTGATTATAAATGACTTTCCAAAAATGCCCTGCCAAACAGGCCCGAACCATCGTCCTACCCCTTTTTATTCAATAAAAATAAATTATTTATTCATTGCTAGTACAACAAGTACTCTAATCCAAACACCATCAAAATCACTACAACGAACTCTACTAACAAAATTAACCACACTACCAAAATTTATCATTGCGTTTACAAGGTGTACCTTAGTCATCTATCTCTTTTATTTGCAGAAACGCACTAGGTTCCGTCTTCAAACTTCTAACTTAAAAAGCTTCATGTCTTGTAGTCTTTGCATTTGCAATGAAAGACAAAAAATAGAATTTATTCTCCCAGCGGCCAAGGTTTGATTGTTACAGCCACGTGGCCTTAATAACAACCACAATCAAATCTCGTGGTTTACTTATTTATTCCCTATTCACATAATATCATGAAAAATGGCAAATTAATATCAGTTTAGAATACTAACTTAATTTGTGGACCATTATTTTTCGTTCTCATGTATGATGAAAGAATCCGTTGTTTTATAATTTGATTTGTAATATATATATATATATATATATATATATATAATGGAATGACACAAGAAAACCACTGTTCCTTAGGATTTCTACACAGTACACACACAATTTAGCCATACGAATCATGTGGCGGAACGCAAATGGGAGTGACATTTCTACATTGGCGGTGGGACAGAGAGTTTCTTTGAGTTGCACACATAAAAGTAACGGAAAGACCTCGACAAGTCACATTAATGTCATTTTCTTTCATTTGCTATATCGTTTATGATGAGAATAATGTGTTATTGAGTTTGGACGAACAAAACAACATGCTAGCTAGCTTGATATTTACAGCTCTTGGATATATATGAATATGAGGCCTTAAATGTAGATATGGCTTTACATCCAAAAGTTGTGCTCACAAGTTTAAGGCTTGGAACCATTGCTAAGTGATTAAGTGAGTGTCATTTTATAAGTTGGTTAATAAAAATTAAACTGTATATTATATAAAATGATATTTTATATATTTAATAGAGTATGAATTTAACTAATTAAAAAAGAAAAAAAAGTGCATGAAATTTAAAAAATGAAAATTGTAAATGATAAAAATAATCGATGACTGAATTAATATGACAGATGAAGAGGCAAAGTCAGTTTAACATGAAAGACCAAAGGTCTAGATATTATATAAAGTGCTATCCTATGCATTTAATATAATATGTATTTAACTAATTAAAAAAAAAAAGTGCATGAAATTTAAAAAATGAAAATTGTAAATGATAATGAAAGTGGTAGGTGAAGAGGCAAATGAATGAAAATTGTAAATGATAAAAATAATTGACAAATGAATGTAGCAGAGGAAGAGGCAAACTTAGCTTAACATGAAAGACCAAAGGTCTAAATATTTTAAAACTCCTAATGAATAAAATGAAAAGTCAAGTGCACCATATTTAAACTCATTCTTTCCCCTATCCGCCTTACATTTTTTTTTTTTCTGATCATTTATTTTTCAATAATCAACTGTCACCATAAGTGAGTTTAGGTTTTTTTCAATTCTTGATAACAATATTTAAATGTTTAATTTGTTCGAAAGATATTTTATCCAAAAATTAGTTGCAGCATATAGGTGCTTCAATTATTTTTTCTCAATATAAATAGGTATTCAACTCTAACCACTAGTTTATATTTTCCTTAATTATGTTACATATTTTATCTCATCTTGAAATATTTTATTGCTAAAATTTTAAAAATATTTAAGGGTAATTCAATTGCAAAAGATGTGAAATATGTATTTCTTGATCAACTTTTATTCGATAAGATGATTAGAATATTAAAGTGCGATATGTAGATTGTGAGATATTTTTAGTTTGAAAGATGATAAGGACTATTTGAGTACTGAAATGGTTTTGCTTATGAGAAGGTAATTTTATGAGTTATTGTATTTGATCTTTTAGGTACTTAATGATTCTTATTAACAAATTTGTTTGTAGAAAAATTTTATTCACGCTATAATTTAAAGTTTCAATGCTTTGCAATTTAAAAATAAGTTGGTTAAAGGAAATGTTTATTACATGAAAAGAATAAGAACATATATCATGTTGCTTGTTATAATAATTATATAATCCAATTCCATCTTGATTATATTGTCAAAGAATTAAGTGAAAAAATCCAAGTGATATTGAAATATATATTTGAACTCACTGGTTATAACAAACTGCTCAAGAAAAAGAACAAATCCATTTGAAGTATTTGTTCTTTTTTGTTTTAATAAAATTTTATTGAAAGTATATTTCATTAAAAATTTGAGGGAGGAAAAGGGTTTAACATAGCCATAGAAATTAAAAATGAAAGTCCTATTTATTGAAATAAAAGTTCATATTCTTCCATTTCAATTTTAAGTATTAAAAATTTTATCTATCTATACATTATATAAAGTGTTCCCAAAGTAATAATTAGGGATTAAATTTCGTCATTTGATTGAAATTGTAGAACTTATCTATACATACCTATCTATTCATATATATATATATATATATCTATATTTATCTATATATATTATATAATAAAAGGTAATGATTGTTATACCCTCTAGTTCCATACATCTACC